GGGAACATATATACATCTCACAACGATCTTTAGATGTAGGGTCTAAATATATCGGGTATTTTAAAATAAAAAAGTAAAATATTTTATAAAAGGTAAGATAACTTTTAATTTAGTATTGATGTAACCGTTTGAGCAAATGGAGAAAGAGAATCACTCCTCCTAAACCCTTGTCGCGAAAATAAAACTTTTCATTATTTAAATTTTATGATTGACATCATTAGTGATGTACCTATATTATTATTCTCCTTTTACATTTCTCACTAAAAACGTGTAGTAGACTTTTAGAATCCGTTTTTTGGTATCTTCAATAGTCCAAGTATAATTTTTTTTCTTTTTCATTTGAAAACGGGTACTACATTCTTATATTCTCTTTCTTGGTTTCTGCAAAAAAGCTTAAGTTTTCGATAAGTTATATTGTACTATTTAGAAAGAAAAGAGTTGTTTTTTTCTATAAAAAACAAGAGGTGAAGAATACCGTTCAATAAAACTATATTGCACATTCTTTTTTTCCTTTTTTCCTTTTTTCCCTCATGTTTCAAGCGTTTCAATAAGTATATTAGAATATTAAAAATTATTTCAATATCAAATTATCAACTTTTTGAATCTGATTCTATTATCTAAGATCAACAATATCTTAGGAGAGATTAAATTATTTATAAAAGAAACTATTAACAACTTTACATTTTAAAAAACAAGAAAAATAGACTTCAATTAAAAATATAGATGAATTGTTTTTCTTCGAAAAGGCTCTAAATTAAAAAATTAGCTTTAGGCCACCAATCTTCTTGAGTCGCCCCTGATTTCAAGTTGTTTATTGATTAAATCGTGTCTTTCGAAATTTCACGATGAAAAATTAGATACAACATAGGTGTGGCACATAATTGTCTATAACAAATAAAGAAGTACTTAGCTGAGAAAAATTGGTCCCCGAATAAATTAACAGGTTACTATTAGAAATGGCTTTACCAAAATTTGGTTAGAATGAAGTTCACAGAAAACAAATAAGAAATGACTAAAGAAACAACAACAACATCCCAGTATAATCCCACAAGTGAGGTCTGGGGAGGATAATATGTATGCAGACCTTACCCTTACCCCGAGGGACAAAGAGGTTGTTTCCAGGAGACTCTCGGCTCAAAGAAATGACTAAAGAAAGAGTATGAAAAAAAGAATCTGAAAGTTAAAATGGAGCTCCATTTAGTCTTTTAATTATTATTATTATTTTTGAAATTCATTTTAATTTTTTTTAACAAGAAACTCATTTGGAAAAAGTAAAAAAAGAAGGAAAGAGAAACAAAAATGTTATTGGACTTTGTAGATAATGCAATAGTACTCCAACTGGGGTTAAGTTTTCAGATAAGTATTCATTTTCATTTGCTAACATTATATTTGATAGAGAATTGGGGTGCCACAACTACTTGATTGCTATTTGCTTATCTTTGAAGAGAAGGTTTAAAAATGGCAATCATTTGGTTTTAGTTTTTTTAATTTCTACTTTTCCATTCTTCTTATTCTTATTTATCTTTGTTACATAAACGTGTGGTTCTTTTTTATTTTTGGTTTTCAATATTTGGTATCTGTATTAGGGCCCTGATTATAACTCGAATTCGGGCTTCATTGCTCTCTTCTTATTCTTATTCGGGTTTAGTTTTCATTCATTCATTCTTCTTTTTCTCTCTTCTACTCCCGTCCTAATGCATTTACATAAAATGTTAATTGATAGCTTATAACTGTATTTATAAAAAAAAATTAATAATAATAATATATACTTTGATAAGCACTCATACACTTAACATTAAAAGAACTTTTTTTTTTCAAATTTCCTTGACATGTATGAAGTCTGTTACTTTAATTTTTCTTTGTCATTCATTATTGGTCATTTCTTTCATTTTTAGTGATTATGTAAAATTTTAAGATTTTATTAACAATTACAAAATTTATCAAAATAGTGTGATTTAAAAAATTACTCACTGTGATATGTATATCATTTGGATTTACAAAGAATTAATTCAATTCCCTAGCAAACTATCGTGTGTATACCTTTTGGGTTTCTTTTCAATAAAATATACTTATTCGTCCAAAATAATACTCTTGCATTAATTGATTAATCACAAGAAAAAGAAAGTACAAAGCAATTTTGCGATGAAATTATGCAGTAATGGTGCATGAAGAGGAAAAATAACAAATTAACATAAAATTAAACGTTATTTACTTTATGAAAAGTGGAAAAGTCTTTTAGGAGAAAGTGATTCGATGAGTGCAATCCAAGTTAGTTAAATTAAAAAGGAAAGGATGCATCATGAACCCCATTTTCTTTCCCTTTTTTCTTGAGAAAAAAACAGTTTTTATTGATGACAAGTGTGTGTATGTGTGTATATATATAGAGAGAGAATGTTTTATCCAATTACCAGTTAATGCTTATTTTAGAGATTTATTTGTAATATTACCTTACAAATGACTTGATTCTATAATAATTTTACATTATTAGCGCATAGAACTTATTAAATTCATACAAATAAGCGCACAAACTAGACCGAATACACCTCAAGTATTATTGTCGTTAATGAACTTTCTGGTTATTCAACTATTATAATTAGGATTATCTAAAAAGGAATAAAACCTACAGAAAAATGCATGCATGAAACATATGTAACTGTTGCAAAAACTCTGTAAATAATGTGAACATGTTGTTACAAGTTATTACTTAACCAAAAAAAGATAATCGTCTCGTGCATGTGCTACATATGTATGTCGAATGCTATATTATGTACGTTTGATTGAGATGGAATAAATTTATTTATCTCTAATTGAGTAAAATAAATAATCCCATTTTGCATATTACATCTGCTCTTCTGTGTGGTAAGTAATTCACTTTTTGATACTTGATTGAGTGTACATAAAGTATTTTTGGAACTAATTAAATTCTTTTGAACATTTTGAAGATATAAGTGTTTTGATTTTGAGAGGAAAATTCTAGGAATATTAAACTATCAGTTAGAATCTTAACTCATCAAATACGTTTTATGTGATAGTATCTTAGTAGTCTTGCTTTCTAGAGATGGTTTATTCGTTTAAAACTTTTGAGTTAATTATCATTGGATTCAGTGGCGGAGGCAGAATGTGAGATACGGGTTCGGCTGAATCCAGTAGTTTTTGTTCAAACCCTGTATTAATCTTAAAAAATTTATTGAATATGAATAAATTATTAATTTAGAACCCAGTAACTTAAAAGAATTACCATCTCGAACCAATAATGTTCAAAACCTGGCTCCGCCTCTGACGGGATTTGACCGTTATGCCTTGATTAGTCTTATATTTTTTGAGAGTTTTTTACTGCGTATATATTTTCTAATCTACAATAAAAGAAAAGAAAGAAAAAAGCTACAATTTCTTTGGCAAGTAAGCAGCTTTAAAGATTGTAAAGAGATATGATACACTAATAATTATAATTAATTTGGTTAACTTTAGATGCCTCTCCTCACATTTTGCTCCATCACATTGATATTCCTCGCAACTTATATCATTAGGCTTATCTTCCTTATTTTAATATTTTATAACAATTCCTTTTGCCTATTTAAAACAACAAATTAGTCACATCACAATATAGTTATATTGATAAAAAGGTTTTAAAAAAGTATCAAAAAAAATTAAAATAAGTCAAATAAGTGTAATATCGTAAATCACAAGGGAAATTGGCGCGAAGGAACAAAATAGTGAGCGGAGATTTCTTATACTATCTCTAATTAATTTAATACAAGCAATAAAAGCAAAAGGGGCAAAAATATAAGTAACTGAGTATCCTACTTTCCCTTTTTATCTTTAACGAAAATCTGTGAAAAGCAAAGACATAAAACTCAAGTAACATATAAACTATACATCACTCAACCCATTCACAACACAAAGTACATTACAGCTAAAAGCACCTATAGTTACATATAGGCGTAAGACCTGTTTATCATTATCAAAATGATTTAAGGTGTATGTAGTATAGTTTTATCTTTATTAATTACCATTTCATCAAGTTATCTATTATTCTTATCATAAAACTTACATGTACTTAATTAGCACTTAGGTTATATACTAACAAATGAAAATTTAAACAATCTCTATAATATGTAATAACAAAAACTTATTACTCTATTATTATTATTATTATTATTATTATTATTATTATTATTATTATTATTATTATGCCAATAAGTGTTTATTAAATAGAATTACCCATTAATATAATTTGATTGACGAACTAGAATATATAGTAGTACACTATAAATGTTATATTAGAGTTATAAATAATTTTACGCTATCATTGTATAAAACTGAAATCCATTTCATAGTACTTCAATTATGCACTTATATTATAAGAGATTACATAATCGGCTAGGTATTGATTTACAGCCTAAAAAGTATACTAGTAAGTGATTTGCTATAAAACGTTAAAAATATACTAACTTAAATCTCAATCAAATTACATTATTTTAATAACTAGTATATATAAAAAAATATTTAATAGAAAAAAACAGAGGGAGAGGTGTGGGACCAGAGAGCAATGAGAAGAGCGTATTGAAGGGAGAGGGATTGGAAGACTTAAAGATCACGACGGACAATGGAGTGGAGAGAGAGGTGATATAAGTAACTAAAATATACAGCTAGCAATGAAACAATAGATACCTCTTACCAACCATCACTCTCTCCTTCTACTTCTCCTTTTTAACTTTCTGCAGTCCATTTTTCTCCTAATTAATATCTCCTCCTGCTACTACTACTTCCTTCAAGGTATTACATATAGTTCAGTCTCTCGTTTATTCATTCAGGAAAAAAGTTCTTTTTTTTTTACTTCATTTGAATTCTGCATAGTTTCCTTGGGACTTGAGCCAATCCAAAATAGTACTACTACTAATTCCAGTTATCTGTTACTCTCTTCTCAGTTCTGGGCTGGATCGAGGTTTTAGGGTTTAAGCGTTTGCTCTTTTCATGTATTTGGTGCTTTTAAGGTGTTTCGCTCTATAACTTTTTTGGACCTTCAGTTACATTTTCTGAAAACAGAGAAAAAGTTTTGAGTCTTTTTTGCTTCAAATGAACCAACAAAACTGGATGTCTAGGCATAAATATTGAAATCTTACTCCAACTTTTTGTTGTTTTGCATTGTTTTTATACTTTTCTGAACAATTTTGGAATACAATTGCAGAGGAATTTTCTGAGAAATTTTGGAGCTTTTTCTGCATATTGGGTCTATAAGTTCTTGTATTTTTAACATTTGCTTCTTAAATTTGCATTTGGGTTTTCAATTTTTTTTTTTAAATTATCTTTTTTCTTGTAATTTTCTCAATGTGTCGGTGTACACAGTGTGAACACTCTACTTGAGTTCATTCTCATCCCAGCTTTTGTTTTTTTCTTCTTCTGAACTTCCCAATTTTTATTTTTTCTTTTTTTTTAAAAAAAAATTGCTAAATATTACAAAAATCTCACTCTCATAATCTTGATTTTATGTTGTGGATTGACAAAATTCCAAAAAAAATTCAACCTTTTTCTAATAAAATGTGCCACGCCTCATTTTTGACACCTTGGCTCCAGCTAGAGCACTTGGTGGGGTCTGGCCCCTACCCTTCACATTATTTTTCATTCCCCTCATAAATTGAGTAAATATATATTTTAGCTTCTTTTTACTTAAGTGTTGGGCTCGGAATATTGGTATCATTTGTTGGTTTTGAAAATTGATGAATTTTCTTTGTGGGTTGTAATTATTAATGTGTTTGTATTATTTTTTGCAGTTAGAGTAGAAAAAAGAAAGAGTAAAAATGGGGTCAAATTTGGTGGATGAGATAGACTGTGGTAGCTTCTTTGACCACATTGATGATTTGATTGATTTCCCTCTAGAGAATGAAAGTGCTGGCCTTAGTTCTACTGATTGCAAAGATTTTCCCAGCATTTGGAATGATCCCTTGCCGGATTCCGACTCCCTTTTCTCCGGCAGCCACCGGAATTCAGCCTCCGACTTCTCCGCCGAGCTCTCTGTTCCGGTGAGCATTCTCTTTGTAGTCACTTGACCGTGAGTATATGTAACTTAAATTCTTATTTGTATATTAGCATTGTAATTAATAAAAAAAGGTCAAAGTTTCGGTGATTCCTATAGGTTACTGTGTGTTCAAGACGTGGAATCATGATCCTTGCGGTAGGATAGATTTACCACGTCAAATCCCCAGTGTGAACCTTCCTCGAATCCTGTGCGAAACGTGCATGTTATTCTTTTTTGGTCTAAGTGATAACTATGGGCAAAGGCGGACATATGCAATAGGTAACTTTGGCAAAAATTATATATATATATATTTAGAAAATAGTAATATATATAATATATTAGTGGATATTCTATGAACAAAGCAGATTTTGGTTGAATAAAAAAGTACACTCGGAACCTTCAAATACTGGGTCATCTCGTGAATTGGACGTAGAGATTTAAATATGTATTGCTTAGTACTTGATTGAAGAATTGTATCATGATTGGAAAGATCAGCTATTTAATGGGGATCTAATGTTGGATTAAGATATGTTTTGTATCTGACTGCCAGCTGGGCAGTCGGTGCTAAAGAAGTACACTACATTTTATGCTCAAAATTCAAACAATTTGCTCCATTTCAGGAAGGAAAAAAAGTGAAACAATTTGCTGAAGCTGCAGTCAATTTTTCATCTTGGGACCACACCATAACTTTTTGCAATTGTCCAGTCATTCCATAGATAAAAGTTTGTTGATTGGTGGAATTAATTTGAATCTTTATTTCAATCTCCTTTTCAGTCCTTGTATTATTGCCTATTAGTCTACTGTGTTCAAGCTTTAAAAGGAGTACCCCTTTTGGTCCTGCATCAACAAATTATATGGACTACTAGAATCCTTGTTAGAGTTATGAGACTTAAGCCATTTGATACTTTTTTTTTTTTTTTTTTTTTTTTTTTTTTTTTTGCTTTATGCATCCGGTTTGAAGGAGAGCTTTGGCGTAACGGTAAAGTTGCTGCCATGTGACCAGGAGGTTAACGGGTTCGAGCCGTGGAACAGCCTCTTATAGAAATACAGGGTACATACAATAGACCCTTGTGGTCCTACCCTTCTCCGGATCCCACGCATAGCGGGAGCTTAGTACACCGGGTTACCCTTTTTATGCATCCGGTATCAGAAACCCACTTGCCCTGAGTAATCTGGATTCGCACCGTATAGGGCCACTAAAAGGGGAAGCATGGTCTTTCCTCCACGGTAGTTGGAAAGTCCTGTCTACTTCGACTCCCATCCCTTGCCACTCGCATGTGGTAGTTGGAGAGTTGGTTGTTGTATAAAAAGGAATGACCATCATAATTAGTGACAGATAATAACATTCAATTTGCACCAGCATGATTGCAACTACAAGCAAAGCCGAAACAAATATTCTATTGAAAGTCATTGTCATCATTGAAAACAAACGTTGTATCTATCAAATGATATTTCTCATACTATTGTTGCTTAGAATAGCATAATGTTTGAGTTTGATATCATATGCTACAACTCTGAACTCTTTGGTCTGATATATTTGTGATCTTGTTTACAGTATGAGGATATTGTCCAGCTTGAATGGCTGTCAACATTTGTGGAGGATTCCTTTTCGGGCGGAGGATTGACTCTCGGGAAAGAAAATTTTCCTCTTTACAAAGAGACATCCGAAGCCAAATTCCAGACTTCGAGTCCTGTCTCCGTGCTTGAGAGCAGCAGCAGTAGCTCTTCCTCTTCTTGTTCAGTTGAAAAAACTGTTCCACTTAGTAGTCCATGCCACCGGGGTCCACAACGTGCTCGTAGCAAGCGTCCTCGTCCTGCAACGTTTAATCCCGCGCCAGTAATTCAACTTATCTCTCCAACATCATCCTTTACTGAGATTCCCCAGCCATTTGTTGCTCGAGGAATTGCTTCAGAATCAGAGAATTTCGCGGAGTCTCCCATGAAGAAGATTCTGAAACCTGCTGTAGCAGAACAGAAGAAAAAGAAACTCAAGTTGTCGTTTCCTTCAGCTCGGGTCGAGGCAAATCAGAATCCGGTGGCACAGACAATTAGGAAATGCCAGCATTGCGAGATAACAAAGACTCCACAATGGAGGGCAGGTCCAATGGGACCAAAAACTCTGTGCAACGCGTGTGGTGTTCGTTACAAGTCAGGACGACTCTTTCCTGAATACCGGCCTGCTGCAAGTCCTACATTTGTTCCATCAATTCACTCAAACTCTCACAAGAAAGTTATTGAAATGAGAACCAAGTTTGTCCCGGACAACAATGCCAACATAGCTAGGACCGCGCCACCAGCAACAGTCACCCAACCGGAGTTCAACCCGAGTAACAAAGAGTCAGTGGAGGAAGAGAACAAGTGAAGGAAAGAAGCAGAGAACAGTTTTCCCTAGTCCATAGTCTTTTAGCATCTCTCTACCTTCTCATTTCAATGCTTAGTGTTATTTGTGTATTATTTTCTTGCATTTCTTTGTTCATTGTTGTTTGTATAGAGTTGTATTGGGTAGATAGAGAAGAAATAGAAGATTATATTTTAGGTGGTAGAGATAAAAGTTGTGATGAGATGAGAGGGTGTGAGAGCAAATATGGAGATTAGATTTAAGGGCTAAGCGTTAGTGTTACTTAAGTTTCTTTTAAAGTTAAATTAGGTTTGGGGTCAGTGTTGGTCTTTTTGTTAGATGTTAATGCCTTGTTTTCTTTGTCCTTTAAATGTGAATTCTTTTGCAGTTCATTCGTTATTAGGCAATTCTGAAATGAGTAATATATATATATAAAATATATTTTTTCGGATATTATTTTGATAGCAGTTATACGATGTCATTTTCTCTTTTTTTTGTCAGTGTTGTTTCATTTTCTCTTTCCCATAATAATTAATTGAAAGAATTAGAACTCTAATTCTGCATAATACACGTTTTTGTTTTCTTTGAAACGACATGATACACCTTAGTTTATATAGAAAATCTTGATAATAATTTTTTAAGTGATGTCAAGGCAACTTCATACAATCTTGTGTTCTAAACAAATTTATCTCCACGAAATTAAACAGGATACTTCGAATTTTTGTGTGATTAATGGAGGAGTGGGAGTAAAGATTGAATTACAAAAAACTTTGATATTTTCTTTAAAAATAAATTACTACTATTTTAATCATAATCCTTCACTAGAGAAAACTTTGGGGAATATTATCGGATTATGGAAAAATATCAATCAAGACACGAATATCATCTAAATTATTTTTTTTATAGGGTGACATGTTTGAATTATAAGAAACTTTAAAAGTGGGCTCAATATCATTTTTTTTAAGTTTCCAAAATTTCAAAAAAGAAAAAGTTGTATCCTTAGTACTTGTTATGTTTTGTTTTGGATTTCACGGGAAAGAAACTAGTCAAACTCTTCATGTAATCAAGAGATAATCTTGCGAGATATTGTCGAAATTTAAATATTAATTACTCAATTAGATTTTACTATTTAGCATAATTACTCAATTAGATTTTAGCACTACTTAACATTGATTATGATTTAAAAAGAGATACGAATCACAATATGATTGTTATATGACAAATCAAAGATAGCTAAAGAACATAACCTCTACCAATAACTAAGATTACTTGGGGTAGAATAATCTATCAAATCTCACAAGTTTTTGAATATTAAATCGGAATTACTACATAACATTAATTGTGATTAAAAAGGAATGCAAATCGTATATTGCAGCATCAAACCACAAATTAAAGCGCGAGTTTAAGCCTTAATTACTCAATTGAATTTTCATGTACACCATAATTTTGATTAAGAAAAAGCAAAGCAATAAGCAAATCGTACTACAAATCAAAGTGTCACAAGTTTAATATTAATATGTAAATTATGATTTAAAAAGGTATGCAAATTACACATTCTTCGACCTCATACCATGAATAGTTGTTACAAGTCTAAACATTAATTGCATAATTTGATTTTAGTACTTAACTTAATTATGATTAAAAAAGGTATGCAAGTTACATTGTCAAATGTCATACCACGAATCACAGCGTCGCGATTGGATTTTAGTAGTTAACGTCAATTATTATGCTGATTAAAGAAAAAGAAAAGTAATCACAGATAATGAAATTCCGAGAATACCCTCACCATCATCACTCAGTATTCAACAAGTTCAGAACCAGAAAGAGGGAAAATCAGGAGGAAGAGCTTTTTGGGTTCAATTTTTAAGAATAATAAGAGCTCTTTCCTCTCGACTTTGACTCCGACTCTCTCTTTATCTCTCTCCGTATGTATACTCATATGCGTATACGCTGAGCATACAAAAATACGCAGTAGTATATGTATATACGTACGTGAAAATCTCCAGATCGAAGTTAGGGTTTTAGTTTTTTAAGGTCTTCAAAATGTCAGGGCTTCATCGATCTTCTAGCGCTCCTTCAAAAAATGGCCTTCCTCCTCAGGAACTCCTTGACGATCTTTGCAGGTGCCTCTTGCTCTTTAAGTTATTGTGCAAAACTTTATTTTTCTTTTTTTTTTGTTGTTGTTGCAATTTTAGTGATTCAAGCTATTTTTCGGACTTGGTTGTGAAATAGTGTACTTGTAGTGATCATAATTTCAAAATTTAGCTGTAGTAGTGTTAATTAGTGTTTAACTTGGTGCACTCAAGGGCGTGACCTGGTTAATGAAGTGGTAAGAGAACCATGATGTCTCAATTCAGATCCCAGCGAGGCAATATACTAGGTGATTTCTGCTTAAAGCCTTGGTCGATAGAATTATCTTGATACTTGTTCTGGTGGGAGGTAGTTGGTACCCGGTGGAATGGTCGAGGCTAATGCAAGCTGGTCCAGACATTGGTGTCATAAAATATATAGTGTTACCTTCGCCTATGCGAGCAGCCCAATGGCTATTGATCTTGAGTTAGGATAAAAAAGGATGGTTGTGGTAGGTTGATCATGGTGTTAAAAGCTAGTGTAAGTAAGGAGGATCTAATAGAGAATGAAATGGACCTCAATTTGAGATATAGAGGATTAACATCCAATGGTGTGGGTTAGTGATGTAGTTGGAATGAATATCATGGGAGATAAAAATGTTAGAACTCCGAGAAAGCAAGAAAAGTTAGGTTAATTCTTGTGATCTATATAAGTTTTGATGCTTAGCGTCATTCGGTAGTTTTAAAGGTAAGATGATGCATGTAGTCGAGGGAAGTAGTAGATTCAAGCAAGGTGACCTGGTCGCCGATGTTATAAGAAGTAGCAGATTCATGTAAATGACCTAATTTGGTATTTGAATTGAAGTTGATTGAGTGATTGGGTCTTATTAGTTGCATGTAATTCAACAGCTTCATGTGATGGAGAGTTCTCTTGTTTCGTTGTGGAATTATGACTACCTAAGATAAATTTAAAAATGTGGGAAATGGAATTCCTAATTTCTTGAATGTAAGGGCAAGTTCAATTTCTTAGTTGCTGAGACTGTTGGGGCTGAATAAAGGAAGGAACGGGTAGTTCTACTTGAGTATTTTGTGCCCTGCTTAAAACAAATACTACCTTTAAACTCTTCTGTTCTCACTGCGTTATAGACCTATTGCTTGTTCTGACAATAGTTCCTATACTTGTGATTCAATTCATTGAGATGTGTTATCCTAGGCGTGTGCATCATTGAAACCAACACCTTTTTTTTTAATGATGCACAGCCGAACTAGCTAGTATGCACTTAAAATAATCCATTGGCGATCCTGCTATAATTCAAACGTATGTGTCGGTTAATTCTGCCCACCAAGTCTAAAGGATATCGGCTCACACTAAGTGTTGTAATTGAAATTCAGATCTACAGCTTCCAAGTTGTTACTCACGTTTCAATCACTCAGCCAGCTTCTAGTGTTTTGGGACATCTGTCGAATTATGAACATGAGAGTGGGTTGGTTAAATTGGCATCCGGAAGACACAAGTAAAGATAAAGTATGGAAAAGGGTAGAAGAAACATAAGAGCTGAGTTTGCCCACCCGTGATTGACACAAGTACCACTTATTTCACATTCGAGGACACCTGCATGTAGTGTTAAATAGGCAAGGAGATCCAGTGTTGGAATGGAATGGTGTTCAATAGAGTAAAATGGATATAGAAGTCAGTATAGATCCCCCCAAATAATTTGGCAGCGATGAGTGGTTGATTGATTGATCGATAATAAAATAACAATGCTTCCATAATTAATCATCCATGAATGTTTGCAACTTATTCAGTATTTTATTTGGATAGGAAGACATATTGCTTCCTTTGGTCAATATTATAGCATGGCCAGCTAATTTTTGTCTCATGGTAATGAAAGCTTATGACTTCAATAAAATGCATTCTTTCCTGGCATATAGTGTATTCTATTTCATCTGCAATTACTTAAAGTTGGTTCTAGTAGCCTGTTATATCTTTTGACTTTACTTGATTAATGGTAGATGATTGTGAAATTATGCATTTTGTATCTTTACTTGATAAATATGTTTCCTTTTCTTTTGACGCAGTCGGTTTGTTTTGAACGTGCCAAAAGAAGATCAGCAATCATTTGAGAGGATTTTATTTCTTGTGGAGTATGCACATTGGTTTTATGAAGACAATTCTGTAGAAAAAAATCCATCATTGAAGTCTTTCACTCTCAAGGAATTTACATCCTTAAGTATCCTTTGATGATAGGACCTAGGTCGACAATTTTTTAAATGCAGAGTATTATCTTGCACGCAACTTTCTCTTTCATTGGGATTTGCATGTTGTTACTCTTTCGAACTTGAATGCCCTCTCTTCGTTTTTCTTTGCATATAATTAGCCACTTGACCTGCTTGCCACCAATTTGATCGCAAAGTATGACGCTGATATTACTAACCCAAAAAAGGGGTGCGGGATGGCGGATAACTGTGATATTTCTATTGTTCTCCATAGTCGTCAATATATATACTCGTTTCTTTTTTTCCTATATGGTCATTGTTGGGCCAAGGTTCAGGTGTTTCTCTTGGGGCTGAGTGTTTTGTTTGTATTCTTTCCTTTTTTTAATTTGTTTAAGGAGCTCCCTGAACATGCAAAATGTTAACGAAGATTGGAAACGTAAAATCTAAAGAAAGAACTATTTTTGATAAGTAAGGGTATTTTTTTTATAAGATTATCTATAGAAAGAATTATATTGACAGTATAAGGTGGACATATATGATAGGGTCACTGTTTTTGACTTTCATTCCTAAGTTGTTTTGCTTACTAATTCCATGTTGGCTTGTGTATCTGGAGATGAGCATATGAGTATTCCGGCTTTCCTTAATCAACGGCAGTGTTTAACAGTTGTGACGTTTTAAAACCATATGTTCCTCACATCGATGACATATTCAAGGACTTTACCTCTTACAAGGTTCGAGTTCCTGTAACTGGGGCCATCATCCTTGATGAAACTTTTGAAAGGGTAAGTCTCGTTTGCATTGAGAGTTGCATATTCTAGTTCCTTCTCCTTAAGAGATAAATATCACCTTTGTCAGATTCTTATAGTTGATTGGTGTTCTAAATTTTGTGCTTTATTAAGCCTGTTATCTTTTAGGACCTATATTCATGTACGACCCAGTCCCTTATCAAAAAATTCATGTATGACCCAGTGATAAATATGTTACTGGAACTTAGAACATTGCTGCTTTGACTTTTTGAGGACATATATTCAGTTAACTGCAGTCATTTCTCTCTCTATTCTTTTTAGTCTGATGATTATCCTTTCCCTACTCTAATTTATAAGAAC